GTCCAGCAACATAGCCATTATGCCAACTGCTGGTCCCATTAAACTGTATTCATGACCGGGGTGGGGGAAGGGGGGGGAGAGAAAGAGAGAGAGAGAGAGAGAAAGTGAGAAAACAAACTGTCAGGTCCAGGACTCAAACTGCAGTCGGCCATGTGAGAGTCCAGCACTCTTAGGCACCACGCCACCTGCTGACCCTTGTTTATTTATTTTTTTAGAGAACTTTTTAAAGAAGGATTTTATTTATTTATTATTATTTTCACATGAATTTTGCTAGAGAAAGACAGAGAGGAAGAATGAGAAAGCAAGACGCCAGGTCCAGGACTTGAACTGTGGTCCACCATGTAGGAATTTCAGCACCTTAACCATCATGCCACCTGCTGGTCCCGAGAGATTTTTTACTATAGGACATGTCCATTTGCTGGAGAGACAGAGAGACAGAAAGTCAGAAATCACCCCTCCAGGGGGACGGCCACGCTATAATCCCTTCTCCTCCATTCTCCTCTTGGGATCTTAGGCACGCACGCACATATACCCAGTGTGAGTTTTAAGCCACCGGGTCTTGGACTCGAACCTCGGTCAGCTACGTGGGAAACCAACTACGTAACCATTACGCCATCTGCTGGTCCCAGATCACTTGTGGATTTATGCTGAGGGTGTGAGGGCTCAGCAGACACCGTTGGCTTTGGCAGTGGGTAGACCTGGGGTGTCCTCCGGGCTGTCCACCCAGTCCCTGTGCGTCCATGGCTCCGAGTTCACCTCTTCCCCTGCAGCCTGGGAGCGATGACTCAAGGCCAATCACAAGGGCCATTTACCCGCGAGGTGCTGGTGGCCCCTGTTTTTGTCACTGCGTGGGGATCGATCGGCAGTCACACTCACCAGCATTTTTGTTTTTCTACAGATATGGGACCTGGCCGACCCAGAAGGTAAAGGGTTCTTGGACAAACAGGTATATACACAAGTACCCCCAGCACGGGGCGGGGGCCAGGTCAGAGCGCCCCCCCAGGCTGGGCAACTTCCGCAGTTCCTCGATTCTCCCTTGTCAAGGCATATTAGACCTGAGGGTAGTTCTCCAATTAACATGGAAGGCAGGTCTCGAAACACGCATGGCTAATATAGCTCTTATTTATTTATTTAGTCGTTTTTTTGAGAGAGATTTTTTGCTATAGGACGCATGTGCTCACCCAAGAGACAGAGAAAAACAGAACGTGAGAAATCACCCCCCAGGGGAAATGGCCACACCACAATCCCTTCTCCTCCTTCTCGGGATCTTGGGCACGCACACACATGCGCCCGGCGTGAGTTTAAGCCACCGGGTTCGGGACTCGAACTGCAGTCGGCTATATGGGAGTCCAGCATCTTAACCACTATGTCACCTGCTGACCTCTATTTATTTATTCTTTTTTAAAATTGCTAGAGGGTATGTGCACTAGCCAAAGAGAGCTGAAGACACACAGAGACAGAGAGAGAGAGAGAAAGGACCCCTAGTGGGATGTGGTCACACCTCAGTCCCTTTTCCATTTCTGTACCCCGTTGGGATTTGATGCACCCATACATATGCACTGGCATGTTTTTCAAGCCACAGGGACTGGGATTTGAACCACAGGAGATCTGTCTCCCTTAACTACTAGTCCCCAGGGCCACCCACCGACTAGTAGTTAAGGGTGTAATATCTTTTTAATATCCTCTGTACTCACAGATGACGGAAATGTCTTCAAAGGTTTTTAATCTCGCAATAATTTTAGACTCTAAGGTCTAAAATTGCAAAAATAGTTTGGAGAGGGACCAGCAGGTGGCGTAATGGCTATGTCGCTGGACTCCCATGTAGTCGACTGCTGTTCGAGTCCTGAACCTGGGAGCTTACACTCATGCCAGGCGCATGTGCGTGCATGCCCAAGATCCCAAGAGGAGAATGGAGGAGAAGGGATTGCGGCGTGGCCATCCCCCCAAGGAGTGATTTCTTGCTTTCTGTCTCTCTGTCTCTCTCTGCCTTTCTGACGAGTGCATGGGCCCTATGGCAAGAAAAAAAAAAAAAAAAGAAAAAGAAAAAAAACTCTTAAAAAAAAAAATAGTTTGTAGAGTTCTCGTGTGTCTTACGCCAGCCCTCCTCAAGGCCTAGCACCTTGCATAACCAGAGCGCACTGCTCAAAGCCAGGAAGTGGGTATTGGTGCAATACTAAGTGACAGGCCTCCATCAGGGTGGACAAGTTAGTTTCACTATTTTTATTATATTTTTTTAAAATCTGTGGTCAGGAGAGAGCGTATAGTTCTGTGAAATTTATTTATTTATTTAAATTTTTAGAGATTTTTGCCCTTCTCCTCCATTCTCCTCTTGAGATTTTGGGCACGCACGCACACGTGCCCGCGTGAGTTTAAGCCGCCAGGTCTGGGACTCGAACCACGGTTGACTATGTGGGAATCCAGCGACATAAGCATTACACCATCTACTGGTCCCTATGAAATTTATTTTTATTTGAAAAAAATTATTTTAATTGCCAGAGGGTGTTTGCCCTTGCTGGAGAAAGAGAGAGAGAGAGAGAGAGAACCCCCAATGGGGCTTGATCATGTTGCAATCCTTCCTCCCTTTTTCTATCCTTTTGGGATTTGGGACACATGAACACACGCACCAAGAATTTTATTTTATTTTTAAGTCTTTGCCATAGGGTTCGTGCACTTGCCGGAGAGAGAAAAAGTGAGAAATCACCCCCAGGGGGGAAGATCACGCCGCAGTCCCTTCTCCGTTTCTCCTCTCGGGATTTGGGGCCTACATCCACATAGGCCTGGTCTGATTTTCAAGGTGCCAGGTCTGGGACTTGAACCGCAGTTGGCCGTGTGGGATCCAGCACCTTAACTATCATGCCATCTGCTGGCCCTGACCAGGAGTATTTTTCAGGCTACTGGGGCCAGGATTTGATCCATGGTCAGCCAATGGGGATCCACCTTTCTTAGCCACTAGACTATGGGGCCAGTCCTAAGTCATTTTTTTTTTTTTTTTTTTG